GGGGGGGCGACCTGTGGTGTCCGGCTCCGGAGCTCGCCGGCCGGGGCCCGGGCCGGCGCTTCGCTTCGGGAAATCTGCGTTTCTCTCCAGCTGGGCAACCCTGTGAGGACCAGGTAGCAACCTTTTTGTCTTGCCTTGCCGGTTCGAGAGAGACTCCAAAGGAAAATCTAGTGACCTTTTACTGCTAAAACTGTCTTTTCATCACGGGGTTAATGAAGGTGCTGAAAACCTGGTGGCTTTTTCCTCCTCAGATGTCACACCTGTGTTGTAATGGCAGGGCATCTGCTGAACATGAGCTACAGCGAGTGGGGTGCCTCCCCTGTGGGGATGAGGCAGCGTGCCTTGTAACTAGGTGCTTATCTACAATTAATTATTTATCTGTTGTCAGAGTAGAGCGCTCTGTGTCCACCAGGCTTTTATAGCCAGACAGCTCATCCTGCATAAAGAAGGAAAAATACAATTTTTTGTGTTCGCATGTATGTGAAAATAATTATTTCGTTAGCCAAGCAAAACTTAGGTTGTATGGCAAAAGGTCTGCAAAGTGGCAAACGTGGTTCCCTGCAATGCGTGGTGTCGTTGTCAGTTATCACACGCCTACTCTAAGGGCCCTCCTTCACTCCCGCCTTCCTAGGGCAGAGGAGCGGCTTGGCACAGTTCAAGCAGGTCAAACTGCGGCTATTTTGGCTTCTCCGAGGAACACGGAGAGAGTAAGCTGAGTACTTTGTATGTGCCTTAGAGGATTTTCTCAAAGGCAATATGGCGCTTAGCAAAGACAAGAGGTACTTGAAAAGCCTTTGAAGGGGAAAGGTTAAGAAAGTACTTAGGTTTACTATTACCAGAACTCCTTGTTTAATAAGTAAGTGGGGAATCTGGGGGTTGTGCTAAAGAGTGCATACCAAAAAAACTTTTGAGACACAGGAGTGGGATGATTTTCCTAAAGGAAATCTGGGGATTGAGAGTGATTTGTGTTTGTGCTAGCAGAATGTCCTGTAGTGACTTGGATTGTGTTATTTATTTAAGTGGTGGAGTGATTTGTATATACAGATGGAGGAAAGGCATTGGATAATGCCAGTGGAAGTTATCAGAAATCCTTAACAGAAAAATAAAAACTTCCAATGTGTGAGACAGGAGAACTGTTTGGAGGAATGATGACTGTAGTTAAATGTTTACTGTATGACACCAACACCTTTCAGTTAAGAGATGCTTGATGAATATATAATTTATGAATTGTGGTGGCTCTCACGCTTTTTAGCTGGTGGGGATCTCAACAGAAAATTTTGTAGTAGGATTGTGTGTATGTACTTACAACAGTGGAGGATTAAGAGAAAATATTGTACAGGAAAAGAGCAATGTAGGTTGTTCATTATCTAGGTAGTACTAACAAGATGAGAGTACTTAGTTGCTACATGTTGGAAAACAGAAGAAATGGCCACTATCTGGTCAAGGACCTTTTAACTTCCTCTTGTGTGCCCTACTCTGTGCTCAGCCTGAGCTCCTACGTGACTGTTTCTGTGAGCATGGTGACAACCAACAAATTCCCTGCTGAGAGCTACAGCGCAATGGCATGAATGCACAAGTACTCCGTACTGCATTTAAGTGTAAGTAAAGCATATGCCTGTGTATATGGAATTTTTTGTTCATGTTGTAACAACTTTGTATGAAGCATGTAGTTACTTACCTGTTTTGTACAAGCAAAAAGCAAACCTCCGTTGTGTTATGCCACCACTGAATGTCATTTAGTAAGAGAGAAAGAAAATGATTTTATCGTGGTTTATAAAGTTCTGAGGCACGCTATCCTCAAGGCAAGAGTGACTCCTGGACCCAGCTGTACCTGCATCAGAGAGGGCTACCAGTGTGCACTGAGACATGCTTATACATTAGTGTTTACAGAAAAATTATTGAAAAGTTGTTACACTTTGTAATATATAATGTTAAATGTTATAACACGTGTGCATGAGTCTTACAGTTATTACCTCTGTTTTACAAATGAGATAAGCCTTTGTTGTGTGTTTGCCATCACTCCATCTCTGTTAAGACGGAACCATGAAGAAAGACATCAGCAAGGTTCATCCAGCCAAGCAGGTAGGGATGGGCTCTGTCATCACCAGCGTAAGAGCCACCTCTGTTTCCCTGAACTGTCCCTGAACTTCTGCTATCCCAACCTTAAGACTCCGGTTTGCTCTTTAAAGCAGCGCTGTAGCAGCAGGTATGTAGAAGATGACAGTGTACACAGCTTAAGTTAATTATTGTATAAGGAAATATTAAAATCTTAGGGTTATACAGTAGCTATATGACTAAAAGCATGCTTCAGTTCTGGTTTATTATCCAGAACCAGCAGCAAATGCCTCAAATAAATAAAACGAGTATCTCCTGTGTATATGCAGTTTGCAGCACAGCAGAACGATGAGTGGCTTTTGTACATTACTTCCCTATTTTTGAATTATTTGTTCAGATAAAATAGTTTGGTTTAGCAATTTATGCAATGGGGAAGCTCATAAAACGACAGGACTGTTGGCAAAGATATGAAGTCATTTTGTTCCACCTTTCTGGATAAATACTGGCAAACAGTATATAGTGATGTGTAATTAGAGATATTTTTGAGAGCTGAAAAATAAGCAATTAATTTACATCACTTGCTTTTAACATTTGGGTGAATATAAATTCATATTTCTAAAAACATTACTAATGTGCTGACTTTACTAGCTAATATGTTTATGCACCTGTATTTTTAACTTCAGTCCTCACGATGATGCTTGGTTAAGATATTGCTGAAGAATTGAGTCAGAACTACCTACCTCCTCACAAGAGGAGGGTGATGTCGTTCTATGATGTTTATGCAATAATTATTCAATTCTACATATGTTGCTGCAAATGAACAGCAGTATGTTTATTTTAGTATAGGAAAGGACAATATACTTTACTGATTTCTTATTTAGGAGGTCTGTAATTCCTTTTATACAATGTCCCATTCAGACTGTGCTATCAAGAAATTCCTTCTGACTGATATAAAATCAAGAAAGTAGTGCCCTTTCTCTCACTCCAGTATACAAATATATCCTACCATAACTTTTTGATTACTAAATTTCTTTTAATTATTTTTCAGTTCATCATGGAATCTTTCTCAGTTGATGTAAAATGACAAATTGTAGATGGAACTGTTTTTTATTTCACTAATGGAAAGTACGTGATTGTATGATTGAGAATGACCCCCTCTAGTGGTTCTTGAAAATGTGTGCATCTGACTGATTCTTTGTATTGCTGCATTTAATTTCCTGAATCATATGGTATACATTTGTCCTTCATACAAAACCATATTTGAAGTTCTCATGTTTGTTAATTTCTGTCCAAGCGTGCTGTAGCTTGACCTGCAAGTAATGCCTTGGGTAATCTGACATAACTTAGATTTTAACTATTGTTTTCATACAATTAACATCAAAGTTATTAGAACACCACCTTCAGTAATAAGCGCATTAATATGAGTGAAGCATTTTGGAATCTTAGATAACCCTGTCGTCCTGTTCCATGTAGCAGATGCTGTTGGAAAGGGTTATACTAGACTTATATTTGGAAAAAACAAATACTTTCTCAAGTACACCCCGATTTTTCCCTTATGCCTTCCTGTAAATGGGCCTTTTTTTCCAGCTATATTGTTTGGTCTAATAAAAGATATAATAAAGTATATCGTAGTGATTGACATACCTTGCTTGACTTGCATCTTTGAGAAAAGAATACTATAGCAATTATACTATAGTATAATTTTAAGTGTATTTTAAATGCAGTTAAATTTCTGTTATACACGTCAACATTCCATGGTTTTAATTAAGGCTAAGCATTTCATCCCCAGAAGATATGAAGGAGTCTTCTAGGTGTTGGTCTTGAGCCTTTGTGGAGCTGTGAGGAGGGAATCCATCGATAAACTGTCATTCTGACCATAGAATCTATCTATCTATTAAGGTTATTGTTCATCTTTTTCAAAGGCGAGTTAGTGACTTTTCTATTAAAAACAATAGTAGCATAAATGTCTTATGGCTGTGTAGGGGAAAAACAAGAAAAATCTATGAGAAAAATGAGAGCTTTCTCTAAGCTATTTATTTATTTTTAATAGCAAGAATAACCTAAGATTTTAAGGACAGGTTCATATGTTAATTTCAGTTGTTAGGTTTCAGAAAGAGGCAAAATTTTTCCTAAAGATTAAAAAAAAAAAAGCCCATACCTAATAAGAATATTTAATTATTAACCACTTAAATGTTAAGATGA